AAAAGAAAATGTTTACTATAACAATCTAACCAATGTTGTCACAAAACTGCATGTAAGCATTGACCAAAGGGTGCAGGTACTGAATGTTACCAGGAAGATGGAGTGGACCACCTTGCCACACAGAGGTAGGAGGGAGGTAGAACCTACAATGTGTCTTAAAGTCCATTTTGGCAAAGCTGGGCATAGGGGGATGATGGCAAGAGACCAGGAGTTCAAAGCCAGTCTCAGCTACTAAAAGATTCTGAGGCCAACCTGAACTACATCATGCCCTGTTTCAATAAACAACAACTAAATGAGGTCATGTTTTCAAAATCCTAGAATGTTACACTTATTCCATTGACTAAAGAACATTCCCAGGCTAGCCCAGGTTAGGGCAGAGACAAGTAACCTGCATTTATTAGGAGTGACGAAAGGGAAGCGTTGCGGAGAGGCTTGGGAATGGGCGGCCACAATCCACTGGGAGCAGTTTTCCCTGCCCAGTTTGTGGCTGTGATCCTGCTGTCTAGGTTTCCACTCCATTTAAAAGGAAACTTTTGCAATTTTTTTCTTACTTGTAACATTTTTTATTCATCATACTGATAACAAAATAGAACTATATTTCCATGGACATTTATTTTGGGCATGGGGGAAGATTCCAGACATGTTTTTTCTGTGTAGCTTTGGAGCCTGTCCTGGACTACTATTTGTTCTGTAGTCCAGGCTGGCCTCAAACTCACAGAGATCCCCCTGACTCTGCCTCCCGAGTGCTGGGATTAAAGGTGTGCACCGCCACCACCCAGTTTCCATGCACATTTAAATAGAAGAGTTACACTTCTATGGGTGGAAGTAGACCTTCTAGTTTAATAGAAAATATTGCTAATGAATGGTAGTTGGTGATCGAGCTGCCCATCCACCGCCCTGGGTGGTAAAATAGAAGGGCGGGAAATTGAGCCTTGGCTTGACTTAGTTTAAATTCCTAGGCTTGTCCCATATCATTCCTATGACTCTTTCAGCCCTCATACCTTTAAGTAGGTACAGTGGTTCCCTTGCATATTCATAATTCTTGTCAATTCTGTAACTCTATACCGAAAGAATTTCATCTTTAAATGCAAACACTGCTATCTAAAGATGTTCCACCTAAGGAACATGCTTTGACTTTGAAATTTGGTACCAGCCCCTCACTGGCTCACATGACAATTCAGTGTTATGTATTCTGCAGTGAGATGGCATTTCTAGAAAACGGAACTGTTTTTATTAGCACGGGCCTAATCAAGTCTGAACAGAGCAGAGCTTCCCAGCGTGTGCCTAGCTTCGTGTAATAAGTGGGCCACAGGCATGGGGGGGGGGGGGGATGAAGGCCTCTGTGGACAGGTTGTTCCTCTTAGTGAGAAAGTCCGTTCAGTTGAGTAGGCTTTCTTTTCCCTTGAGTGGTTTCTGCTTTGTTATATCTGCCTTGACCATGAAACAGGATCATTGAGAAGATCTGCAATCAATAATTGTGAAAGGATCATAGTGATGGTTACTATTTACTGGGAGTTTAATATGTGCCATAAACCAAGCTAAGAGCTTTGCGTGTATTTTCTTGTTTACCACAGAGCAATGCTATGGCATCGATGCTATTAGTATCCCCACTGTAAAAATCCGACTTGACACACTGCTCTCTGACCACCCTGGTCAACTTTAGAATCTTCCTCCTAACGTCTGAAATCTAGAGGCCCTTCCCATATATCACCGAGATTAATTTTTTTAATCATTGCCTTAAAAATCTAAGGAGAAAATCCTTATTCTAGAAAATAAAATATGTACCCTGCAACTTTCTGTTTTCATTCTATATTCGTATAGACTTGATCATCCCCAAATCTTGGGTGAATCCAGATATATATCAGGCAGGTAGTATAAACAAAAGGACAAAACTAAAGCAGGCATATAAAACTATTTTTTAAACATTATTTAAATACAGAACACACATTCTCAGAAAAATGATTACATTTTGTTGTTGTGAACAAAAGAGTTTATTCTTAGCATATGTCTTAGAACTGTTGTAATGACTCTTCCCAGGGTATAAGTCTTGATGAAGGTCAGCTGGGGTGGCTTATCGGGGGCCAAGCTAAATGGTTACTGGCTACTGTGGTGCCATCTCAGTTCCATGGAGGAAGCATAAGCGCAAAACCCACTGTACAAATACAAACTCAATAACACGGCAGCAGACGCACAAGCTAGGTATCAAGCCTGAGTTAAGGAAGGGGAGGAACTCACCTACCAGAAGGGTCCTTGGTCTGAGGCTTCAGCAAGGGTATATATGTATATTCTTTATACCACCCACAAATGGGAAGTTCAGAGTAATAACTTAATCTACTGTACCTACACTCATATACATATTTATTTATCAATCTGTTTTACAAATACATGTCATATATGCACTGTGGCATACGTACTATATATAATAATACATGCATATACATACAAGACAAAGTAAAATGTATAGCTGTGTGTAAAAATTATAAAGATGAAAATGAGATGCCATGTGGAAGCAGGACAGGCAACTAAAAAGCTAGTTACATAGCCTGGCATAAACTGCAAGACTTTAAGGACCATCATAGAAAAGCACAGTAAATATTAATATTAAATATTAAAGTATTGTAGGGAAAAGAAAAAGTGGCTATTTCTACTACTTTGAATTAAGTGGAAGTGTGTGTGCACATGTGTGCATATGTGCTTGCGTGCTAGTGTGTGTTTGTGTGTGTGTGAGTGTGTATGTGTGCGTGTGTGTGTGCACGTGAGTGCAGATACCTGTGGAGACCAGAGGTGTCAGATACCTTGCAGCTGCAGTTTCAGTTGTTGTGAGCGCCTAATGTGGGCACTGGGAATGGGACTCAGGTCCTCCATAGAGCATCTCATGCTCTTAACCACTGAACCACCTCTCTAACCTCTACCCCATTCTTATTCGAGTTCTTGAACTGGATTTCTAGAAAGCCAGTTTAATACAAGAGCTTCTTAACAAGAGAAAAACATGAAACTTTTACTTTCACATTTATTTGGGGATCTTTGCGGGAGAGTAAAGTGCAAAGAAATTACCAGAGTACGCTGTGTCTGTGCCTTTTAGGCAAAACCCAATAAACTTGAGACTGGATAACTCTAAAGTGTTAATAAGATGTACCAGACAGAAGTGGGATGGAGTACAGAAGCTAGTGAAGGAAAAAAGGGTTACTTTAAAGAAGTATTTATTTATCTTTGTTGTAGCCTATATTACTTGTGGTACAGGATCTTTCCCAAGTGGTATAGGAAAGACACTCCCCTCAAAAGAATGTGTGTGACTTACTATATGTAGGAAAATATGGGCCAGGGACCATTTCTGAAGTTGCAGTTCCTCGGGGGACTTCAGCTTGAAATAATCAATCTGCTCACGTGGGATATTTTGAAATGACATGCCTTTAACTCCTTCAATATCTCAGAGACAAGATCAACTGAAATTTGATGTTGTTTGTAGGCTAGGAACTTGGGGAAGGGGGTAGGGAAAAGGGGAAACTAAGAGTGGGGGTAGAAAAATGTTTAAAATGTACATAAGCCTGTGGGTTAGGGAGTTTGAAGAAGTCTTGCTGGCATTGGCCAGATGACGGAACTTGCAAGGGATGGCTTGGGAGAGAGGAGGTGGCAAGTATCAAACAGTAAACATCAGACTGATCTGGTCGTCAAGACAATTGCACTTAGAGGTATATCAAGTCAGGACATTTATGTGTTGTTTATTGCCACAGACTGGTTTCTAGTTCTTTAAACTCTTAAATTCGATAATCCTTTGACTTTACTGTGACTTATAGTTGAGGCAGTATTAACAAAATGTTTCCCAAAAGATACTGGTAGAAATAACAGGTCTCCAGTGTCAAGAATCAAACAGGCATCTACCAGATAAGTGTTCTTGGTAGGCATAGTGTTGTTTCTGTTTTTCCTTTTAAAATTATTTTTCTTTCTTTCTTTCTTTCTTTCTTTCTTTCTTTCTTTCTTTCTTTCTTTCTTTCTAAGTGTGAAATGCTATAGACTAGTCATCCTTTTCCAGTGATGCCCAAACACCTTCCTGTCTTAGGTCCACCCACTTCACTTTCTCCTTACATCTAGTTGTGAAATTTGCCGAGTCTTTTGATGCCTGCTCTCTGTCTTAGGATGAGTAATTAGTGATGGGAAGTGGGAAATTCTCAAAATCAGAAAAAGTCAGAGGTAAGTGAAAAATGACGTCAACATGACTAAGTGACACTGGACAGAAATACCAAGATGAGCTGTGGCCCAAGAAACTGAAAAGCAAGATTGTTCAAATGTTCGCTGTTCTTTTACAGTTGGACTAGGTATGAGCCAGCCCATCAATGGCAGAAACAGTGTGTTTCCTGCGTTCTGAACACTGTCTTACAGTCACAGTGCTACGCTCTACAGGTGCAAAGAAAGCATGTTTAAGTTCTTCAATTTCAAAAGAAATTAAAAGGGAAAGTTCAGAGAGATGGGAAGAAAAAGAGAACAAAATACAAGTTCGTCACCCTTGCGATGATAGAAAATTCCAATGAAACACATTTTTGTTTTGTTTTGATGGAGACAGGGTCATACTATGTAGCTCCAAATGACCTGGAACTCGATATGTAGATCAGGCTGACCTTGAATTCACAGAGATCCACCTGCCTCTATTTCCCAAGTGTTGTGATTAAAGGTGTGTCACACACACTCAGCCAGATGATTTTGTACACTACCACTTTTCTTGAAGCAATGAGAAAGTTTAAAATATGCAGTAAGCACATTTAGGAAACAACATATATATATGTGTGTGTGTGTGTTTAATTACATATTATAAATGTATATATAATATAATATATGCTTATATTGTATTTATATTATATAAATATATAAATATGTTATATATTTAAAATATATATTTAAGTTAAGTTTATTATAATGTATTATATATAATATATACTTATTTAAGTCCCTACTCTCTAGCCCTCCTGACATGTCTTCTTCTGTCCACCCGCCCCCACCTCCTGCAGGAATGACTTGCTCATGGTCTGCCGACAGCTGAATATGGAAGAATTGGTGGCCGAGATCATGACCCAACTGGGCACAGACGAAAACGGGAAGGTGTCCTTCCAGGACTTCACAAGGTGCCACCAGCAGCTGCTTCGAGAAATCAGGAAGGAGGAAATGGACCTTTCCCTGAAGTCAGGCAAGTCCAGCCAAAAGAAGCTGAGGGATAGAATCACATCCTGGCCCACAAGCTGTGACAACAGTTTGGGTAGGTGGGACCATGCTCCTCTGTCCCTGCTGTGTTATGTCCGAGTGGCCTCCCCATCACCCACCCCACTCACTTGGCACTTCTGTCCTGGGCACAGTTTCTCTACAATGGCCTCATGCTTCTGACTTTTTCATTTCAGTTCAATTCTCACATTTTCTAACGCTAATGATGCTTTTAAATAGCTCTGGAGAGCCAATTGTGGTACCAAGGGTCTGTAATCCCAGTGCTTGTGAGGCAGAGGCAGAAGGATTGTAAGTTTGAGCCCAACTTGTTTGGGTGATATAGTAAGACCTTGTTTGGAGGCGGGTGAAGAATAGACAGTGTAAAACCTTGGGAAGGACTAACGGCATTGATAGTCCCAGGAACTGTTGAGGACTTCAGTGCTTACTTTAAAGGTTGTTTAAATCTATTTATGTTTTCTATAAATAATTTTATCTTTCATGAACATTACAATCTCTTCTGGTACAAGACAAGCAATTTAAAAAAAGTTCTTAATGATTTTGACAGTTACTGAATGTGGCTGATAAAAATATGATTTCTTATGCATATCCTAGAGTACCCGCTATGTGTATTTTTAAATGTTTGAAATAAATTGTACACAACTGAAAGGAAAGGATACATCTTAAAAAGCAGATGGAGAGCCAGGAGGCAGAGGCAGATAAATCTCTGTGAGTTCGAGGCCAGCCTGCTCTACAAAGCAAGTTCTAGGACAGCCAGGACTGTTACACAGGGAAATCTTGTTTTGAAACAAACAAAGAAACGTAGATGGAACAAAGGGAAAGAGAATAACACCTAAATTTTCTACTTATACTTTGTTTTAGACCAGGTTGGCCTTGAACTCACAGAGATCTGTCTGAATGCTTCAGTTAAAAGTGTGTACGGCCATGCCTGACCCATCAGGAATTTGTTTTTTAACCTAGAAACTGTCTTCTGGATCTTTTCTCAGTTTCTTGCTTTGATCTGTATATTGAGTCACAAGAAAATGCCAGTTGGTGTTGCTTCCCCATCATTTGTGGTGCCCTCCCGCGCAGAGGGTTGGGAGAAAGAGATCCAGATCAATGTTCCTGACAGTGCATCCTGGGAGTTTTGTTTTTGGCAGCTTGACCCTAGCCAGTTATCTGGGAATAGAAACCTCAATCGAAAAAAATGCCTCCATCAAATTGCCTGTGAGCAAGTTTGCGGGGGAATTTTTTTGATTAATGTTTGATATGGGAGAGCCAGCTTGGTGGGGGCAGTGCGGTCCTTGGGCAGCTGCTCCTAGACTGTGTGAGAAAGCAGATGAGCAAGCCATGGGGAGACAAGCCAATAAGCAGTGTTCCTCCATTCAGTTCCTGCCTCTGGGTTCCTGCCTTGAGTTCCTGCTGTGGTTTTCTTTCATGATGGACTACATGTAAGCTCTAAGATGAAATAAGACCTTTCCTCCCCAAATCGCTCTTGGTCATGGTCTTTATCCCAGCAATGGAAACAAAGTAGGGCACAGCGGGATCATTAGAGCTTATTATCGAGTCACTGAGGCAATAAAAATGTCATAGTACTGGTAGACCTTACAACTATAATGGATTCCACTGTAGTGCCAAAGGCGATTTTAGTAATGTATGTGTTCTTAGCAAACTTTGTGGAAATATTTTATTTTTAAATATTTTTCTTAATATTGAAGTAATATATATTCATTATAGAAAATTAGGTGGTGAAAGTAGAAAGAAGAAAATAAAATCCATCTTAATCTCACCATATAGGAATAATAAACACGGATACATTTGGTGTGCGGGCTTCTGAAACCTTACTCGGTTTCTCTCTTTTCAATCTTTGTCTCTGGACTTCTGTCTCTCAATTACTATCTCTTGCATTGTCTTCTCTACCTTGTCTCTCTGTGTGTGATTCATTTGTTTATTTTGCTTTCCGTCCTTCCTCCATTTCTTCCTTCTTCCCATTTATTTGATACTCAGGACTGAACCCAGAGCTTTGGTTTGGTACCCTAAAGATTGTCCTTTCATTTCATCAGACCTTCATGTAGTATTTGAAGGTACTATTTGCAATGACATAAAAGACATTAAATAAATATTAAGTTAAGAAGCATATTTTAGATTTCTTGTATAAATATATAAACACACACTCTGCATGTGTGTGGGAGGGTGGTGGTTAAGTAAGCCATGAAAAAACCCAATAATCAAATGCTATAGAGTCATTAAAACAATGGACAAATTTGTTTTCAATCTGAATATAGACTGTCGAAAGGTCTTTTGTTTTGTCCTGTTCTGTTTTCTGAGACAGGATCTCACTGTGCAGCCTTGGCTGGCCTGGAACTCACTATGCAGACGAAGCTAGCCTTAAACATTTAGTGCTCTCCTGACTCTGTTTGCCTCATGCTGGGGTTATGTGTGCCAGCACAGGAGACCAACATTTATTCCAACCTGCAGGGAGTAGGAGCTTCTGCAAATCCCGAAAGGGAAACTTGAAAGGATTCCTGGTAACATCACACTGGTTTTATCATCTCACTAGATTGGCTCGACCACAGAAAAGGCTGAAAAATACTTTTCCTTCAGCTTTTTGATATAAATTTATATCCTTGAAAGAGAAGAGGTAACCGAAAAGAGATGAATCATAACACATGGCATGCATTGAGAAGGAGCCAAAAGCTGTGAAACCCCCTACCAGTTCGTTCTGGTCGTTGATGCTTGAGAATCTGAGTGTGAATCTTTCTGTCAGTTGTAGTGCCCACGTGACTTTCTGCATATCATCACCTAAGCTCTCTTTGTCTCTACGTTCTCAAATGTAAAATGTTGGGGACAGGAGACAACACACATGTGCAACCGCGTGGAGCAATGCAGATCATACGAAGAAGTGAAGACAAGCATATCAGGCCATCGGGCATCACAGTAGTGAAATACTGAGAAATGATAGCCTTGTAAAGAAAAGAAAGTTTATTCAGCTCACAGTTCTGACAGTCCGACTGCCTGCATCATGTTCTTCCCTAGAGGCTTTCATTTGGTCTCATGGTTCAAATCGTGTATATTTTAGTGCCAGTGATTAGTGGATATGTAACCATGGGATCCAGGATAAGGTAAAAGTCATATGTATTCCTGCATCACTCCTAGACATCCCAACCTTAGTACAATAAATACTAACTCGATTCCCTTCTACACACCCTTCCACTCTGACCTTCCTGCTGTTCTTCCAACTTAGCAAATTTAACCAGCCTCCTCTGACCTAAAACCACGCTTTCTGCAACTTTCTTATAGCATAATTGGCTTTTTGCTTTTATTTGGACATCAGCTAACTGATGGGTCACCAAGACTGCCTGTCTCAAGCGAAAGCTGCCGCCTTTCATTCATGTTTTCAGTTTGCATGTCCACTAACTGCATATCACATGGCCTTATCTGACATTAGAGAATGCATCTGCTTGAACATGTTGCCTAATTCAATCCAATAAAGCTTCTATTAGACTGCTAATAAACTTGCCTGTCTTTTCTTCTCCAACACTCCATCACTGTGACAGATCATACAGGTTGTCAAGTTAATAGGGTCAAGAATCCTTTAGGAGACAGACCTCTGGGTGTGCCTATGGGAGACTTCTAGAAAGCTGAAAGTGGTTAGGACCATTCCATGGTTGGAGTCCTGGATTGAATGAGAACGATAAAGTGAGCGGGGTCCTACAGCATCCATCTTTCCCGGCTTCCCAACTGCAAAGGCAGTGTGACCATCTGCCTTAAGCTCCTGCCACACTTTCCTGCCATGCTGGGCTGCATCATCAAATTGGGACCCCAAAATAAACTCTGCCCTCTGTAATTTTTTAAGGCACTTTGTCACGACGATAAGAAAGACAGCTAATACAGGCCCTTAGGACAGTTCCAGGCACGTGGGGATTGCCTGAAGTGGAGATGTTACAAGAAGGAATGTGTGTGGATTGCACTGTGAGCATGCTCCTTCAGGAGGACACGGAAGTGCAATGTACAACTTCAGACCCTTGCAAATTCACAGTTTAACTGTAGAGAAAAAAAAAGCACAAGAAATCAAATTATAAGGCTGGAGATTGAACCCAGGACCTTACACATCCTGGACAAGTACCCTACCACTGAGCTACATCAATCCTAGCAGTAATGCTCTGATTACAAAGTGTGAGACACTGCACTTATACAGGCTATAACCACGGCTGAAAAATACCGTGAATATGAATCTCAAGAAAATGTAGGGCTCTTACCTGTGGCTATAAAGATGGAGAAAAATAGAAAGAACGTTGGGCTGTCACAAGAAACACCTAAGAAAAACTCTGGTTTCATGATTAACTACCAGAGAAAGTTTATTGTTGGCCCTGACATTTCGCAGCACATCCATGGCAGGGAGTCGAGTTGGCAGAAAAAGAACTGTCAAAACATTACATGCTCAACTTGGAAGAGGAATTTCAATAGATTCATTTATCCCAAGTGTTCTCCGTGGAATGGCGATTTCAAGGGATGATCATAAATATTATGAGAAGAAAGAATTCCATTGTCGAGGATTTTGAAAAGTTTGGGTTAAAGCAGATTAATAGTTTTCTTTACTGCAAGGTATTTCAGAGCTTTTAATGTGTTAATGCTTCTTGGGACTCGCCAGGAGAGAAATAAAATATATCACAGTTCCCTAGTTTAATTGACCGTAGATTTTTTTTTTTATAAAAAACTCACAGAGCATTCTCTGCTCAAATATACTTTGGGGGAAAATTAAAATACCAGAACAACTAGAAATTAATACATTCTTGTATCCATGTAAAGTCATCTTAAAAATAATATTCTAAACTTTTTGACTAACAGATATCAGCTGTATGGTTATAGCAATGACAATAACAAATGGTTAAGACAACTAATGTTTACTGTTTGTGGCAGATGACTTTTAGGCGATTGACTCATATTATATACTTTAAAGATTTCAGGTTACTACTGAGTTTCTTTGGGAATCAGAGTGGGTGCCTATTTATTCATATATATATATATGGTGCATATATAATATATAGTATATATATTGTG